CTGGTGTTGAAAGCATGGTGCTAAATGCTTTGTTCCCATTAAATCAATGGAATTGCTTAGGGTGTGAGCATGAAATGTGTCCCATTGTGTACTGCAGTTGGAGCCTGCCTACTAATTCCACAGCTAAAAATGTATAGGTCTATTTGGTATATCCAGTGAGAGAAGAGGGAATGTTTCCTAAAGGTTTGAGTCTGCATTGCAGCAAGCAACACATCCTATCATACTTTATTATTTTTATGACTTCAGTGATCATTGAATTCAAGTTTGTACCACTTTCTGTGAAACTTCATACAAACCTTGAATTAAACTATTTTTATCTGTAAGCTGCAAGCCAATCTATTTCCAAATGGATCCTTGTTACTTGGTTTGTTCTTAGGGCTAGGCAGCTCAGTGGGCTGAAAACTGGTGCCTAGGGGAATCTGGTGCCCTTCACATGCATTGGACTATAAGTCCCATCGTTTCCAGCCTAGTATGATAAGACAAATTTTCAACTGCTGTATTTCAGTTCTTGGCTGGAACTTCAGTCCCAGGAACCGGAGGAAAAGATCTAATGGGAATTAATGTCACTGGAGGCAAATTTGCAAGCCAATGGGTGCAAAACCAGATATATTAGGTAGTTATCAGTGAATATTTTAGCACCCCTTTCCATGTTGTACTTAAACTGTCCATTGAGGAATAGTCAGTGCAGTCCTGATTATTACCCATGCAATATAGAGTTATCCCAGAGTGATTCCAGGGGGCATTCTCAGTTCATTGAAAGCAATAGAGACATCAAAGAGAGTGGCCAATATGAACCAATGTTTGTCTTACAGTTAAGTTTCTGCAACATGAATTTATTTGAGGACATATGTACAAAGGTTCATGTACAGACTGATTGATAAGGAACCTGTCCCAGGATCACAGTTTCCTAGCCTAACCCTTGTCCCACGGATGTTGTGAGAATAACTGGAGAAGAGCAATGTGTGTTGGCCTGAGCAACTTGGAAGAAGTGTAGAATAAAAATAATTTTATAACTGTTAATTGAATGTGTATTTAAACCTGAGACATCAAAACCAGTAGAATTTCCTGAATTATGTAAATTATAGTTATGATTTAAAAGAGATTTAACATATTTCTATAGGGCATCATTCCCTTTCCATTTGCACAGGAATCATAGTATTAAGTAAGTGTTTAAGATCATAAATGTAGTCATGAAAATGTAGTCACCAAAATGTAGCTATGAATCAGTAGCCATGCTTTCAGTCTAAATCCAATCAAATTCAAAAAACAGTATTTTTAAGGTGATGAGTTTCAAATAATTATAAGATGCTAGTTTTTGGCAACTGCCAAATAATAGAATGTGAGAAAATAATAGTGTTTCCAGTTATACAGCAACAATAAATAATGGCAAAGAAGTAAAAGTGAGGAGACAAAGGAAAATGGCACGAAGTGTCAGTCCTTTAATGATATTCCCCAAAACAATCCCAATTTATTTAAGCACAACATTTGTGGAAAATACTCGGGCTGCATCAAATAATAGTTTGGTAGATGGTCTCACGTGTCACATGTAGCTTTAAATGCTGCGGCTAATTTTACATAGTGTGGAAGCAACAGCAAAACAATACAGCAGATACACCTCACCCACATTAAGAAAGGAGACTGTTTGATTCTTTTTCCATTGACTTCCTTTGTGGGTGGGGAAATTTCACTTGCAGTATCACCTGGGGGGGTGGGGAGGGTTGTAAGGGACTGATGGCCAGAATGTTGGGAGGTAGAAAATAAGGCTGGGATGTTAACCCTCCAGCAAGGTGCAGGGCATAAAAAATGAAACCAAGTGGGAAAGTCAAATTCTGACTTCAAAGCCCCCCCCAAAAATGGGTACATCTTTGTTTTCTCTGGATACCTTCAGAGTCCTATCATTTCTGGAGGATCTCTTGTATAGTGGTGTTGACCAATACTTGCCTTAACTCCCACCCTAGCCTCTGTGTGTGGCGAATTGGAAAATCAAGTTGGTGGATGTAAGGAGTAAATCCCAGTAGTGACGATACGGAGGCAAAGTACCAAGCAGTACAGTTTAATTCGTTCTTGCAAGAGCGGGCACCCACCACACAGGCAGCGCGCCAGTTACACACAAGACATTGCTTTTTATTCCCTTTTCCCGGCTCGCAGACCCTTCCTCTTTTCCCGCATTGGCTGGGCTACTCAGAAGGTACAATCTTCTCCGTCCGCCTACATCATACTACCCCTTGATATGCTCCCCCTCCTGCTCATACATCCCATGTTCATGCTAATGAGCCCATTACTTATGAGAGGTGTGTCAGTTACTATTCATGCACCTATTAAGCATGCGCAGTATCTTCTAAAAGTTCAACAGGTCAGAGTGGCCTTGCAGAATCTTACTTGATGCCAACTTGCTTCTTAAATCTTGTGGGAGGATGAGATAGGAAGAACAGGCCTTCCTCCAGGCTCATTACAACCAGTTATAAAAAGGTAATCAATTTCCTGCTCTCTTCCCCTGAAGGTGACAGTTTTACCACTGTCCCCCAATTTTACCCTCTCTGGCATTTTTCAGGACTTTGATGTAAGACACACTATTACCCTTAGTACAACTATTGACATGATTCTATTCTCAGGCCTTTTGGCCTTAATGATCCTACCCTAGCCCTGTATTTCACCCTTTCTTTGGTTTTCACCTTATCACTTAGTAACAGTAACATTTCATTTCTCACAATCCACCCTTTTTCTTTTATAAACATTTACTGTTACTAACTTAACTTGTTCTCCAGAAATTCCTCCAGCAGAGTCTGCTCTGGGGAGGATTTTCTACCTCTTACTACCTTTAATGTCATTATCCTTTCCCCATGTTGGTTTATCCTTGGCATTGTGGTTACCTGAATAGATTCCACAGTCCGTTGGACCATCTGGGTTATCACAGGTATGAAACATGGCAGTAGTAGCAGTCCAGCTACAGCCATCAGTAGGGTCAATAGAATCCGAACTGCAGTTCCCAGCTCTGAGGCTGAGGTACTGTCTTCAGCTTCCCAGCTGCAAATGTGAACTATCCTCTGGCCCCTCTGTCAATGCCTGGGGGTCATAGGTGCATTCCCTCAATTGCAATGAAAATCTAACATTTTGGATCTCAGAAAGTGTACAATACAAGGATGCTCTCCGTGTGTAATCAATTTTGTGCTTATGCAACATGCAAAAGTTTACTAGGCATTGGTATTTACTAGCACTGGTATTGCTACTGGGACTCATAAAAGGGAAATGGAGGACTGCACTTTTAATGTTTCTGAAAAAGTTGATACAAACAATCCCTTCCACAGTACAGGCAATTGCTATTCTGCTTCTCTGTGTGACAGTAAATGATTGATGCTTGAAAAATATATTTACTGAGTTGGTAAGAACTAACTTGGCTACTAACCAGGAAAAAAAGCATAATGCCATTTTGAGATTGTTTAGACATTATACATGATGGATGTGAGAATGGTATTTATAAAAGTGGCCTCTTCAGTGGAAGTGAGTTACAGTCATTCTGCTAATCCAAGCTAAAGATTGCTCTGTGCATAGATAAGTGATTGGAATAGGAGATTGATTCTAAAATAGGAGTACTGTGGGTAAAGTATGTTACAGCTGACTGTAGAGTCCTTTACAAAGTTTTGTATGTGGATTTTAGACAGTTCTCCTCATCAGAGAAGAAAATGGCTGCTTGGAGCATTCTATCTATCTTGAAAATGTCTATTTTCCTTTGGCAGCCTTAGCTTTGCCTTTGTTTTAATTTGGGAGATTTGCATTAATCCAGGAGGTGGATGGCTAACCCTTCTGCTATGTAACTATGAGAGCAGTAAAGTCAGCCCCCTATCATGGGTGTCATTATAAGCTCCCACTTGGAATCCTGTGACTCTGGATGGGTAACATAGAAGGCAGTGTGACCCCTCTTCACACTGTGGCAGGATGCAGCCTACATGCAAGGGACTGGGTTGCTGTCCTGTAGCTGGGTAAAGGGGAAGAGTGAGAGAGAGAAAAACAAGCCAAGTAACACACTTTCATCAGTATAACACAAAGAATAGCCTGAAATCAAATCAAGCCAGAACATTCCCTGGAAGCAAAAGTGATTAAACTGAGTCTGTCCTACTTTGGACACATCATGAGAAGGCAAGACTCAGGGCAGAAGCTGGGGAAGGTCAAAAGCAAAAGAAGAAAAGGCAGACCAAATATGAGATACATGATTCCATGAAGGAAGCCACAGGCTTGAGATTACTGGAGCTGAGCCGGGCTGCCAAGGAAGGACATATTGGAGGGTGCCTATTCATGCTGTCTCCATAAGTTGGAGATGACTTGGCAGCATGTAACAACCATTATTTGATTAAGTATGTATCCCCAGTCAGCAAGGGAGAGAAATGGAGCCTAGGAAATCTAGCCCAACTAATCAGTTATTGATCAAATACTCTGGCGCAAGATTCTTTATCGGAAATAGGTTGCACAACAAGGCAGCTGCTTGTAAAAACTAGTTTGACAGTGAGTGTAGAAATTGCAAAAGATGCTGGGTTCAATCTTGTCCAATGTATGCATGTTAAAGCCTCATTGCTTTCAGTGGGAGATATTTGAGCATGGCTCTAATTTCCTACTGGGATCAGTGGGAAATTCTTAATTTGGGCTAGATTATGCAAATTCTAAATAGTTAATTTTTAGGATGGGATCACATCTTTACCCATTAGCATGGTATTACATCCAGCGTGAGAAATCACACCTTGACACTAGAAGATATGGAGAGTAATAGAACCACTTTGTAGTTTACCATAGTTTAGAAATCAGGCAAAGCACGCTGCAGTTACAATCCACACTGCTTGTATGACCAATATGTGAATTCCTAAACCTATGCTCAGAATTTTGTACAGGAATTTTCTCTTCCTTTAGTCATATCCTGATGTGAAGACATGACATACTCCAGTTGTATATTAATTTCAGGGAAGGGGAGGATTAAGTTTTCTTGTTATCCAAGATTTTATTTCTCTTTGCAGCAAACTTCCAAGTTGGGCAAGAGCTGTTGTCCCCAAAATATTTTATGTTACAGAAAAAGCATGGAATTACTACCCATACACAATTACAGGTAAGTGGATATTCTTTAGTGATTTTAATTTTATTCTGTTATTTTAGCTAATAAATTTATTATGGCATAAGCTTTTCTGGAGTCCAGTTCGCCAAATGCATGATGTGTTACCCTCTGTTGCAGGTTTTAATTACATCATAGAGTGGGAAATTGTAAGCAATGGGGGCAGATGGAAATGAAAAGCAAAAAGTACAAGAAAGATAATTTCAGTTAGTGCTTGAATGTATGAAAAATTAGCACAGTTACCCTTCACAAAACCAACAATAGATGAGATAGCAATATAGCAATGCTGAATTAACATTTGCTATATGGGCAGGAAACCGTTGCCTCAATTCAGACTTAACCCTTCCAAAAAAGTAGAAATGAACTTCATGATTCATTGAAATTAAGCAGGTTCTAGTTGGAACTTCCATTTTGTGCAAGGAAGATCCCTGTAAGATCAGCAGCAGAATGTTCTGATAGATTGAAATTACGTTCTACAGGTTTCTGAAGATTGTCATTTCTGATGTCTGATTTGTGTCCATTGACTCTCTTCCATAGGGATAGGTCTGTATGTCCATATACAATGCAGAAGGGCATTTCAGACAGATTACAGTATATATCAGATTAGAATATAAGGAGGTAAATGAACTGTTGATGTGTTGGCTAACGTTAATAGATCCTATAATAGTGGCTTTGTTTCAGGCTCTTTATGTCTCTTTTACGTTATGAGTTGTTACTTGTGAGTTGGCGTTTTAAATCAGGGCTATTTGTAAGCAGGGAAGACTGGTCTGCTGCCAACACCTGTCTGAGGAAAGCAACTTTGTTCTGGATAGGCTGTAGATCCTTGCAGATATATTGCTGTAATTTTAACTGGGAACTACAGGTGAAAACCAGTGGTGTTCTGTCACTTTCTTTTTTAGGTCTCCCCTGTAGTAGATTGTTCTGGATGCCAAACTAACATTGTTAGCCTGCTACATTTCATTAGATGCAAAATAATGCCTGATGTGAAACCTTGAGTTGTGAGTCTCTGTCCAACAAGTCTGAGCAGACTGTTCCTTATGTAGGTGCACAGTAGTGTCCAGAAAGTGCACCTGTTGTTTGGACTACTCCAGGCTCAGGTTGATGGGGGATACAAGTTGTTTACATCATGGTGAAACTTCTCAAATGCTGCCTGTCTGTGAGCCCAGGTGATAAAATGCCACCAATGTAACTTGAGTAGAGAGGCTTTTGGAGACAGGAGCTAAGAAAGTATTTATTTATTTATTTCATTTAAAACTTTTGTATGCTGTCCCTTATGCCTCGGCATCTCAGGACGGCTCACAATTTATTGTTCTAAATGAGCCATGAAGATGCTGAACTACCATGGAGCCATGCAGATACCCATGATGGTGCATTTAATTTCCCTCTAACCTCACTGCTTGCGATTCCTCCACAACCACCACTAAGCATGTAAAGATAGACCTGCAACTGAGGATAATACTTCATGTACCCTGATAATATAAGTTAGCTGCAACATGGATTACTGCAACTACCCTTATGGAAATGGTTGCTATTTTCTGTTTCTCTTTTCAAAATTAATTTTCCATAGCTCTGAAGATGTAAAAAGCCTACTAACTCACCGTTTATGTTGTTTTTGTCTTGCCCTTCATCCTTTGCTTCATCCTTTACTGACCTCTGTTCTCAGATATTCTATAGTCCAACCCTATAAACTGCTATTCAGGATTTGGTAGGATTGCAAAGCAGGATCTAAGTGCCACAATTCATAATGCTGCTATCACCTGTTTCCACTGTGGCTAACACACAGTGCTTTGTGGCACAAGGGACCACTGTATCACAGAGCAGCCATCCCCAGCCAGATGTTTTGGACATCAACTCCCAGGACTTCCCTACCAGTATGGCCAATGGTCAGGAATGTTGGAAGTTGAAGTCCAAAATATTTGGAGATCTCCTTTCTACCTACTCCTGGATTAGACCTAAGTGCAATTCATTTTTAAGGGATCAACAGCTGCATCTGACCTGTAGGACCTAAATGGAGGAGCGGAAACAAGCTAGTAGACCCCACTGTTCTTGCAGAACAAGAGTTGAGGGTGAAAACCCATCCTCCCTTCAACTGTTTCTAGATGTGGATCATACATGTGCCCATTTGTCAAGACACTGGGACTATCTCTGGCATCAGGAAATAGCAAGCAAATGCTAGCCCTGAGCTTGTAGAAGGTAGGAAAACTGGACTGTTTGAGATGATGTGAGTTATTGTCAACACAAGTAGCTGTCAGGTGGGGAAACTCCAGAGAGGCTATGAGAAAGCCAGGAAAGCTCTCTGCTCATGGCCTTGGTCTTCCAGTTCCACTAAACATTTCCCATGAGTTGCTGGATGGGATGAAGCTATCCCCATGTTAAGAGAGATTGCAGACTGCAGCACCAGATTCCTCAGGATCGCCATGGCAAGGAGCCTTTGTTCCCTGACCCGCAGATGATCCAAGGTTCAGTCCCCAGCATCTCCCATTAATAAATATTGGCACGTAGCAACTGTTCCAAAAGATGCCTACTCAAAAGCAGGACACTGGAGGGCAGCTGCCTGTCCAAGGAGGCAGTACTGGGCTAGAAAAGAGTCACATGCTGTATAAAGCTTCCACTGGTTCCTTCAGCTAGGATGATCCTGAAGAAGCTTTGGCTGCATGCCATGAACATTTCTGTCATGATGCCATTTTCACCAGAATTACATGTGCAGTCACAGAGGAGTCACCATAGAGACTCCTCTGTTTGCTGCCAAACCAACTGCAGGGGATGAGTGCCGAATGCAGTTCAAAGAAGGAAAATAGCCAACAATGGCTTTGGTATATTGTCCTTGTGGCAAACCCACTTTGCTTCCCACAGGGGAGGACTGAGCCTTGTCCTTCGTTTCCACAGTGAAAATGCTGGGAAGATGAGGTGAATTGCAGCACCTGCTCCAGTCATTATCTTTAAGTTCAACAATGATTTTATTGTAGGTGAAGAGAAGGGTTAAGAATAATAGTTCCTTTGTCCCTCAGCCTTCTCCTGCCTCTCCACCCATACAAACATATAGTGATTGCACAGTCACTGGGGAAAAGAAGCCACAGTGGCTTCCAATCCGCCCCAGAACCCATGACCTGCATGGTTCTGGGATGGTTTTGAAGGCATCTCCTGCTGCCTTGCTGAGTTTGGATGACATGGCAATCTGCAGAGTGTGAGGGCAATTAGACAAATTGTGCAGCACATGCAGGGGTGAAGAAAAAAGCCACTGTGGCTTATTTTCCCTAGTGATCTTGTGTACCCAGTCAATTCATGCTTCCATTTGTGCTGTCTGTTTAGCATGTTGGTGTAATCCTTTAACATTTGGGGGGTAGCTGGAAGGGAATGGTCTAGGAATGATAGAACATGCCCTTGCAGGAAAGTACATTTTTTGTCAAGAACTTAATTGATTGGACAAAAATGTAATTGCAGTAATTAAATGCAGTTATGGAATAACGCTGTAAATCCTCTAAGGAAAATTCCTATTCTGCATTGTGTTCCACTGCAAAGATCATGTTTGACTTAGAGTATGAGTATGTGATCATCTCTCTGTTTGGATCCAGTCTGAGCTATTATGTATTCTGCTGAACTTGACCTCACTGGAGCCTTACTTGTATATGAAGTCATAAAGTAGAGTATTCCCATGCTGAGAGATAGCTAGGAGACATTTAAGATGAGATGAACAAAAGCTGCTCGCCTGACTTCTGTGAAACAGGCATTTTAAAGAGTGTCTTTACATTTTCATTTATGTGTGTTCTGCATCAAAATTCTTAACATTTTGTCCCCTCCCAGTCATAAGCCTGAGCTACTTCCAGGTGGGATGCAGCCCTCTGGCCTTAACTGCTTTTGGGGAGGGCAAGAGCAAGATTGTGCAGGAATGGCTTGTGCTTTATTTGTCCTTTCTCTAGCTTCCATCTCTCACCAGTTAGGTAACAATTAGAAATGCTGCCCAACTGCACTATGCATGCTAGCACAGTTATTAATGTATCTTTACATTTTAATTAAAGCAATATGAACCATGGAGTAATTATGCCATTATTTTTTTCCTTTTCCTCTTTTTCCATTGAACAATCTTGGATCAGAATACACGGTAAGTTTTGCTTACTACTCTTCATGATGTTAATTAATTCTGAGGAAGTTTCTAGTAAAACTAAGTGTTAGGCTGCAAAGTGAGTTATTTCATGGTGGTACTAGTTCTCAAAGACAGATCATTCTTTTAAATTATTAAGGAAGGATATTGCAGCTAATGTTAGTAGTATCTGATCTCATTATTATGATAATTTCAGATACTTGATATATTTTGCTATCCAGTACATGTAAGAGAAAAGAAGACTCTATTAAAATGCTTTAAAAGGACAGGGTCTTTAAAATGCTGGTTATTGCTGGTAACCAAAGAACAGTTTTTATTTTATCTTTTATTTCCTTATAAAATGGCCATCAATCAGGATGCAGTGTCTGGAAAACTCTGTCATCCCCAGACAAAATTAAACAAATTTGGGCTCAATGCCCAGAAAGAGAAGAAGAACTAGATAAAGGAATGCAATAAATAAGAGAGACCAACATAATTACATGTGGTCTGTTCTGAACAGACTAACTTTCTTTATTCTGCAAAAATTGTAGAAAGATAGTTCTGTAACAAAAGCTGTTCTTTTCATAGACTAACCAATATGGTTTGATTAAGTCAAAAGAGGGGCCTTTATTAGATGAATTATATTGAAAGTGAACTACAAGGTGATCAAACTGTAGCTTAATCCAAGAAAGATATGATATTGGTTTGTAGGAGCTCCACTTCTGCAACAGAAATGCAACTTTTGGATGTGATTGGGCTTCCCTGGAATCAGGTACATGACTGATCAGGTACACAGGAGTAGTATCCATTGGCACATCGCTGATCCTGGTGGTGGCTGTCACCAGAACTGCTTTTGTCCCTTTGAGCCTAGTGGATGAGTTGTACCTATCTTTGGGAAAGGCAGATCTGACGATGGTCATGCTGGCCTTACTTACATCCCAGTTGGATTACTGCAATACTCTTCACCAAGGTCTGTTTTTGAAAACTGGTATAGAATGCTTCTACATAACCTTGAAGGGGAGCCAGTCATCAAGGCTGTGATTTCTTTGTGATACTACCTTCTCTGGATGATTTTAGCTTTAAAGTCCTAAATCACTTAGGACCAGCATGCTTGAAGTACCACTTCTTACCATATGCACCTGTTTCTTTCCTGAAATAATGAAGAGCAACTACTTTATGTGCCATTAATATCTGAGACTCATTTTATAGGAATGTGGGATACATATGACCTTTACTGTCATCTTATCTGAGCTTTGAAATGTTCTGCCCCAGGAGATCTGTTCATCCCCTTCCCTAATTCCATTCCATTCTAGGCTGAAGACATGTTTTGTGCAAGTAGGCTGTTGGCCTATTGAATGTTTGGGCAGATATTGTTGGTACCAATTTGGCTTTCTTGCTTTGGCTGGTATTATCTGCTGTTTTGTTCGTAGTTCTTTTCTTTCTGATGTTTAGTTTTTGTTCTACATTTGCAGTCCTTTGTCTCTTTATTGTTTATAATCAGTTGTGAGCCTTGAATTCCCCAGTAAGAACAACAAGATTAAAAAAATCAAAAATATATAATTCAGGAAGATCTCAATTCAAATCTTGTCTCTGTCATGGACTTATGTGATCATAGACAAAATAGTGATAGTGAAATTTGCCATTATAGGATCATTACAAGGCCTTTCAAGATAATGTGTATGAAGTATTTTGAACACAAAAAAGTTAAGTATTGTTATGACAGTCAGTCGATAACACAAATGTGGGTCTTATTGAACCATTCACAAGTGCTTTTGTGTATTCCTGGCAGGATGATCCAAGACTAGCAAATACCCATAATTTCTGTAGTTATTCTCTGAGTGGATCTCCTAGATCCATGTTGTTCTTCCTATTGTTCAATGTATGCATAAGATTACTGGGAAAGACTGTGTGCAAATCAGCACTAAAGATGGCTTGAAGAATGTTTGAAACTGGGGTATTCAACAGTGTACATTGCTTGGTGACTACTCCATTTCATGAACTTGTCTTGGAATTAGGTAGTTCCAACCTTCTCTCATCTGCTAAAGAGAAGAAACAACTTTATCTTCTACTTTATGAAGCCAGCATGCAATTCAAGGGTGGCCCTTCTGTGAGCGTGAGTAACAACCTCACTTAGGCCATGGAACCTGAGGGGCTTTGGATTACACTTCCTCCACCCACCACAGGGAGGGCTGCCTCCTGCTGCCAGCCAGGGACAATGCCTCACCAAAGGAGGAATACTTAGGGCGGGCAGGTGCCTCAGTGAGTCTCCCATCTATTCTGTACAGAAGAACACAAGAAAAACTTTGCTGGATCAGAGCAATGGCCCATCTAGTCCAGGCACTTGGTACACACATTGGCAAACCAGCTGCCTACAGGATCCATCAAGTAGGTTGGGTGAAAGATATCCACCTGCCCCAGCACCTCAGCACGTGGTGTATGCTGGCATGCCACTTCTGGTAAAAAGAAAGTGCATAGCCTGCAAGGCTAGTAGTCACTGATAGCTCCCTCCCACATGAATCTGTCCAATCCCTTTTTAAAGGCATGCAAATTGGTGGCCATCGCCATTTCCTGTGGCAAATGCTGTAGCAGTGTATCAGACAATGCAGCTCTCCAGAGCAGCCAACTTGAGGAGAGTCCTGCTGTAGGAGAGGTCTTATATTCAATCTGAAATCTATTGGGCCATCTGGCTGATCATTGCCTCCTACTCTGAGCAGCAAGAGGGGGAAATTTGTCCTGCCTTATGACCTGAGCAGTCAGCCAGATCCTGAAGATGAAACTCAAATACTTTGGCCACCTAATGAGAAGGAAGGACTCCCTGGAGAAGAGTCTAATGCTGGGAACAATAGATGGCAAAAGAAGAAGGGGACAGCAGAGAATGAGGTGGCTGGATGGAGTCACTGAAGCAGTTGGTGTGAGCTTAGGTGCACTCCGCGAGATGGTGGAGGTCAGGATGGCCTGGAGGAATGTTGTTCATGGGGTTGCGATGGGTCGGACACGACTTCGTGACTAACAACAAACAACAAATGACTTGAGATTGCATTATTGGAAATGCAGCAATTGAATGGGAGAGCATACAAAATGTGTTTCCCTTGGCCCAAAGAGGCTTTTCTTAAGTTCTGATCCACTTTTGATCTCTGTCTGCCTGTTCCAACTAGCTATGGAATGAGTGGGGTTTTCAGCACAGCTGCCTTCCATTTTCTTCACCCCAGTACTGAGGATAGACTACTCTGTTATCTTCGGTATTAATCATTTGCAATTGATTGGGTTTTGGCAGCTATCTGAATATATTTTATGCACAGTGACTTGCTTTCAGTCAGTAAGAATAATGATTGTAGTGAAGAAGAATGGTTTCAGAGGATTTGAATTAGCTAGTTTAGGGCTATTGTGCAGTTTGCAGGCAAGAAAAATTCTCTCTTGACTTTATTGTCAATATAAGGTCAATAACTTCAACATTTTTATTGACTTCAGTACTATATGATCTGGCCGTGAATATGACATTATTAAGTGTTTTCAGTAACAGCCTCTAAAAATTACAGTTTTTATTGAGTGTGTCAAATGCTGAGTAGAAAGACAGTTGGTAAATTCTAACTAAAGGCTCAGAACATAATGGAAAAATGTTTGTCACGTGTTCCTTTGATGGTATAACTGCTGGACAGATGATATCAGAAATTCTACACTAAGTCATAAAGCAGAAGCTTCCAAACTTAGTCTAAAATAGATCACTTAGTCTAAAATTTAACACTTTTTTAACCTTAAAGTGTTAAAAAGTTTGAGACAAGCACAGTGAACAAGTATCAAACACAACCTCTTTCTAGTAGCTCTCTGCCAGGAAATACTATATGCTTGCTTGTGTGATTTGCTCAGGGCTAAAGTGGAAACATCTACTGTTAATAATTTCACCTACTCTGTTACTTTGCTTAGAAAGAAAGCTTTCTGATAAAACTAAGTTACTGTGTCACACTGGACATACCAAAACAATGGATACAAAGGCCAAACTTTAATTATTGACTTACAACATAATCTTATGCATGTTTAGATAGGAAGAATTTTTAAAATTCCCAGCATTCCACAGTGCACAGGTCATTCTGGGAGTTGTAAGACTTCAGGTACTTTTAATTATTCTGCTGCTATCAGTGGGCAAGAGGAGAGTCTTATCAGCCTTGGCATGAAATCCCACCCAGAATCTTGCAAGTTTTGATAAAGAAGTCTGAGTACCTGGAAAGAGTGTTTTTCCTATTTGCATATTGCAATATAGGCTTCCTGGCAAGAACTGCGGAAAGATGGTGAAAAGGAAGGACTTAGGCAGCTTTGCCAATCAAAGTAAATCTTTGTTCTCACATATAGACCAAAGTTACATCACGTCAGGTATATCATCCCCATGTCCCCCTTAAACTGTTGTGCCTATTTGTGATTGGCAATGATGCAAAGTCAGCTCCTGAGGAGCATCTGTGCTCTTTATGCAGCGTCAGCGTCAGCAGCAGCATGCAGCATCTCTCTGTGCTGCCATTTACTAGAGCTAGGGGTGGGTTCTCAGATCCAGCCTTTTTGGGGTGGGGGGGTGATAATACTGACTATTTTATGCTTTTCAAGATAGGCTCAGTCTTGGACTAAAACAGCTTTGGTTACTCTAATGGAGAGTGTGTACTGGGAACTTGGATACATGAAGCATGTCCTTGTTTGTTTTTCTTGATCTCTCAGCAACTTCTGACACTGGTATAATGCCAGAGGGTCTTGTACAGATGGGACTTCAGGGCACCATTTCACAATGAGGTCCTTCTTACCTGGTGGGTAAGGTCTCAGCAGGTGATGAAATTTGTATCAGTAGTAGAGGTGATCTTGACATGGAGCTATTGCACTCCTGAATGGGATTGAACTTCTCTTGAAGTCTACAGTTTGGGAGTTCTGTTGGACCCAGTCTTGTACCTGGAAGCCTAGGTGACAACAGTGGCCAGGAATGCCTCTGCGTGACTTATGTGAGTGTGCCAACCACCCTTTCCTGAACCATGTGGGCCTTATCATGA